CCTTACGACTTCTTTATTTTGCTTATTATAATTGTTATATAATTTTTTGTATAATAATTTTTATTAAACACAATTATTAATAATCAAGGAGCCAAAAATAAACTACTGGCCTCATGTGAAATCTAATCTCTCCAACACGCAAGAGAGTACACGGCCTTTCTACCTCACCGTCTGTTCACTGTACACAGGTACCATTAGTGTGCATATTTCCACTGATACCTGCTTAATAAACCAGATAAATGTCACCATTATGAGGAATTTGTCAATTCTCAAAATAGAAGCTTTTTGGATTTTGGTACATCAGCAGCCTAAATGAAGGCATGCATTTCCAAGCCTTCTTTTGAAATGAGTACTTTGAATGATCAGCACCTCTGCAGTTTTATTTGCCTGGCAGATAACAGCATATTCATTATGGACATAAATAACATTGCACTACACAGTATATCATGTATACTGAGGCATTCCAATGGTACAAAAAAATTCATAGTAGGAGAGGACGGACATGTACTGTACCTATGGGGCACACAAAGGCAATGGGCCAGACTGATGCAATGAAATGTTAGAGGGAAACATCACAACTGAAATGTGCTGAATTACATTTTAAAAGAGCATTCATTGCTACTGAAATATTTTCTGTCATTGTGGTCAGCAGTGGCATCCAAAGCTTTAGGGCTAAAACTCAGTCACATCTTTGTTCACTGTATCTTACTTTTACCTGCCAGACTGCTTTAAGCATGTTTGAGTATGAATAACCTGGAATGTTGACAACATAAATATAAAATGTTAATTATTCTCCCTGTCAACGCTTTCTCCCTTCATATTCACCAACATGGACAGTGCTGGCAGAGCCACACTGCAGCTGCCTCTCAAATCCATAATACATGAACATTTTGGCAGGTTTTGAATATGTATGTTCTTACTGCACAACGTAAAGTACAAACACACCATATGTCAACATAAATACCAGGTTCCCACAATACTATGCACAAAGGACAAAACTTTTTAGAAACTGACCAAAAAAAACCCCAGCCTGAATTAAAATTAAGACTTTTTTTCACAAATGAGTGTGGCTTATTAAATTAGGCTGAATTCCACTGTGATTCAAAGCCCCTAATATTTGCTCACCACTCAAAATTCATCAGCACGAAAAAAATGTCACAGTCATTTCCACCAGCTGCAGAGTTCATATTACTCATCTGAACTGCCATTAGCAATTTGACCAAAGGTTGTTGAAATATGATAGACACAGGGTCTCAGGGATGTGTCCTCAGCCCCATGCTCTACACCCTGTTCACCTATGACTGTGTCACCTCCCACAAAGACAACATCATTCTAAAGTTCACGGACGACACTGCAGTGATAGGTTGCATCACCGGCAGGGACGAAGCAGCCTACAGGAGGGAGGTGGCCGGTCTGGTGTCATGGTGCAAGGACAATAATCTCAGCCTCAACACAGACAAGACAAAGGAGATGATAGTGGACATGAGGAAGGAGAGGAGATCTCATCGGCCGCTGTTCATCTGGGGGCTTGAAGTGGAGAG